CCCGCCACCCCTAGCTTTCCAAAAAAAGGCAGACGACTCAGTCCATAATTGCCACCTTTTTTTATCTTTCCTTTGTTTCTTTATCAATCTTCCCAGCCGGCATGGCCTACTACTTCACGTCACTGTTTTACCGCCGCCGAATCCAAGGGGTTTGGCTTCACTCGCCAACGAAAACTACGTTCAAGGGTAAATAAATTAAGTTAATTTTATAAACTGAAAATATAACAGTTAACTCTTTTTTTAACCGCGGTTAAAAAATGAAAGAAACCGAAATTTGAATAGGTAGAGAGAGATAAAAAGGATCCAGTTCAGTCTTTTTGAGTGTACGCGTTTTCAAAGCCAACAAGCAAAAAGGAAAACGAGGAATACTTATCTGAAGTCTAAATTCGATGGTTTCGTGTTGGATTCAGCTCTGACTCAGCTGCGTGTTCTCTTCCAAATCAGTGAAAAGTTTCCGGTTTTTTTTTTTTTTGAGTTTAAGCTCTCTCAGAGAGAAATTAAGCTTTTGATCAGAAGAAGAAAACGATGACGAACAAGAACTGGAAGTTTGTAAGATTAAGACAAGAGTTTGGAGTTGGTGTTGTGTTGTTTTTGTTATGTCAAAGTTTGGTTTGTCGGTCGTTGAATGAAGAAGGTAAGTTTTTTTTTTTTTTTTCTATTTCAAGTTTTGGTTTTTGTTTGTTTCTTGGGAAAGTGGAGGAAAATAGATGTTTGGTAATGGATATGTAGGATTGGCGTTGTTAAGATTTAGAGAAAGAGTTGTGAATGATCCGTTTGGTGCTTTTTCGGATTGGAAGGAAGAAGATGGACTATTTGACCATTGTTCTTGGTTTGGTGTCGAGTGCTCTGATGGCAAAGTTGTTGTTCTGTAAGTTTTTTCTTTTTCTTTCCCTTTTCTCTTTCTTATTTTTTCTTGCTCTAATGATATGTTTTCTACCCTTTTTTGGTGTCTACTGTTTGGTTGCTGAGAAAATAAAGGACAAATAATTCAAATTTCGAGCCTTTGGAAATCTTTGTTACCTCTTTTGAGAATATTAAAAGAATTTTAATGTTATTTTTGAGACTTGAATTCAGGCAAATTGATGGCTCATTTCCTTTAATTTGTTCCAAAATTTGATGGATGGAATGAATAAAAATGCAGGAACTTGAAAGATCTTTGTCTTGAAGGAACATTGGCACCTGAGCTTGGAACTCTAATTCACATTAAATCTATGTAAGTGGCTGCAACTTCATTATCTGCTTGTTGATATAAAAAATATGAAAACATGCTTTCTTAGATGGTTGCTTGATAATCTCTTTTAAGTTTACCCGGATCTACTTTCTTCGATCCATCCTTCTGAAGCCATTGTTTCCCTGTAGTATTCTGCGAAACAATTTGTTTACTGGGATCATTCCTGAAGAGATTGGAGAACTGAAGAAATTAGAGGTGCTGGACTTGGGATACAATAACTTCAGTGGACCAGTTCCACCTGAACTTGGCAGCAATCTGTCGCTGATGATCCTGTAAGTCGATGCTGTCAAAACCATTTGGTTCTCATTTTCTGGAGGTTTTTTCCGTCTCCCTCATCTAGTATAATGAATTGATTTTCTGCCTACGTTGCAGTTTACTGGACGATAATGAGCTTCTGATCAGTAGTTTGTCTCCCGAGATTGCCGAACTTCAGAAGCTTTCGGAAACTCAAGTGGATGAAAACCAACTATCTAACGCAGCTAAATCATCCTGCAAGAAAAGATTCAGCACATGGTATGTTAGTATATTTGATTACAAGTCATTCTCATATGGCTAGTTCTAATATGTCAAAAGAATAGAAATAAGCAATCCTGAACAAGTTTAGTTGCATCATATTTTCAGATGTAATTGTCATGAAAAATTTTCAACCTTTACTTATTATTTTGTGTTTTTTCTTTCTAGTGTAATTTTCCATTGGCAGTTTCTTTATGACCATTTGTTCTTAGTTGATCTTTCTTTATATCTTCGCTAGGAACATTGGCCAATCTGACGATGCAGTGCAGAGGAGACTTCTGCTAGCAGCAGCTGCCCTTTCACCATCTTTCAGCTTTTCAAACATACCTCCTCAGCCTCAGGGACCTCAAATTGGACCTCATCCTGCATCTGCTGAAACTTCCCCAGATAGTCCTTATAACAGAGACAATCCTCATAAACAACGTTCTTCTGCTCAAGTTCCTGCTCCATCAGAAAATAATACAGTATCACCTAATGCTTCTGCTCCATCCTCCCCAGGAAGCAAACCTACAAGTTCTCATGCTAATTCAAATCATCGGCCTAGAATAATAGCTGGAGCCATAGGGAGTGCCATATTTCTTCTCATAATAATCATTGGTGCCTATCTCTTTAAAACTTCTAAGGTATCTACTGTGAAACCTTGGGCAACAGGGCTAAGCGGACAGCTTCAGAAAGCATTTGTAACTGGTAATTCTTCTGCTCCGCTACAAAATTAGGCAGTAGATTAAAATTTAAAATCTTTCTTGATTTCAGACATATTAATGATTGCAATACAACTTAAGGCAGTTGTATTGTAATACTCATCATCTAGAATATTCATCATAGATGATTAATTACTTGCGTTTCAGGTGTACCAAAGCTGAAGAGATCTGAGCTCGAAGGAGCCTGTGAAGATTTCAGCAATGTGATTGGTTCTTCAACAATTGGCACTGTGTACAAAGGGACATTGTCTAATGGGGTCGAAATAGCTGTGGCCTCTGTCCCAGTGAAATCTGCCAAAGATTGGTCAAAGCCTTTAGAAACACAGTTCAGGAAGAAGGTATTATACTGAAAATTTCCATCTAGATACACATGCTTGATGTTTTGTTATGGTCTCTCCCTAACTGTTTCTAAGTTTATGGTTTCAGATCGACACATTATCAAAAGTGAACCACAAAAATTTTGTCAACCTTCTCGGTTATTGTGAGGAAGAGGAGCCTTTTACTAGGATGATGGTTTTTGAGTATGCTCCAAATGGGACACTCTTTGAGCATTTACACAGTAAGTGGCTAATTGTTGTTTTTGGTATATACATGTATATTCTATAACAATTCATTTACCCTGATGACCTTAGTCAATGTAAGTGTCACCTATTTTTGCATCTCTTCTGTTAAAGCAAGTCCTATGGTGCAGAAACCAGATAATGTTGCTTGTTACCAACTTATCAGTTTCTGTTTTTCTGCCTTTGTGGGGGGTGGGGATCCAAATTCTGCTACTTTGAGCATATCATCTGGAGCTGAGTCAGTTGTACTAATTTGTTCACAATATTTGCCTTCCAGAAAAAACAAAAATTGTTCACAATATGATGTTTATTGTCAATTTCATTAATATCTTGTATCATCTTTGTAGTTTCACCATTTTAAAATAGTGGCAAAAAGACTTGTTCAGTCCTCTTATCTGTCCAAGTTGTTGGACTTTCTCATAGAGAAAGGAACCTCATCTTGCAATTTTGAATTTGAATTATGCATAGCTTAGTTTGCTACATAACCTGGCATTAGAAGGTCATATGCTTCTTCACTTGAACAAGCAACAATATTTTTTTTCATTCTTTGTAAACATTTGTCATTTACCTTTTCCTTTGGTGTTCAGCATTGAAATTAAACATTGTTATCTTTTACTTGATATTGCAGTTAAAGAATCCGAGCACTTGGACTGGGCAACGAGGTTGAGAATCATAATGGGCATGGCTTACTGCCTTGAGCATATGCACCAGCTGAACCCACCCATTCCCCACAACAACCTGTCCTCCTCGGCTGTCAATCTAACAGAAGACTATGCAGCCAAAATCTCAGACCCCTGTTTCTGGAATGAGATAACTGCAGCAGAGAGGGAAGCAGACAGAAAAAACCTTGAAGATCCACCACTATCAAGCCTGGAAAGCAATGTTTATACCTTTGGCGTATTGTTATTTGAAATAGTAACGGGTAGGATGCCTTACTTGGTGGATAACGGTTCGCTTGAAGACTGGGCATCAGACTATTTGAGAAGGGAGCAAGCCCTCCGAGAGATGGTTGATCCAACTCTAAACTCTTTCGACAGGGATCAGCTCGAGGAAATCGGGAAGGTCATAAAATCTTGTGTCCACCCTGAACCTAGACGTAGACCAGATATGAAAGAAGTCAGTGCAAGATTGCGAGAGACCACTGCAATCCCACCTGATAGTGCAATCCCAAAACTTTCTCCTCTTTGGTGGGCAGAGCTCGAGATTATGTCTGCCGAAGCAAGCTAGGGGGATGAAGTTGAGGTTGTAAGTATGGGACTTGGATGTTTTCTCTGTCTGCTGCTGGTGGAGAGGCGAAAAGAATAAGTTTGCCCGTAAACCAGCACTGGTTGTATTTACTTCTAGAGAAATGGAAAGTTTGTTGTATATATTTGAGATAGAGAGGAAATCCGGGAAATTTTCCTTGTTTTTGGTTTTCAGTGTGAAAATTCATAAAAAGAAGAAGAAGGAAAGCATAATTGCAAGCTGCTTGATTTCTATTTGTTCATTGTTACCTTCTCTGTTGCAATGCAGAATCAATTTGTTGCCCAATCCTGCAGTCTTTCTTTGCCAAGCATTTTAGACTAATCCATTGCAACTGTGAATTGTACAAAGGAAAGAGTAGAAACAAAAATTACAAAATATTATGTGAAAAAACTTAAAATCACGAAGATTATAAGTGGAATTCACCCGAAATTAGAATCGGAAAAAGGGATTTTCAAAGGAATCATACATTTCGAACTCTAAAAACTTACCCAACAACCAATTCCATTGATTTCCAGACAGACTTCAAAATGTCGCCAACCCCTAGGGTAAGCCACTATATATGAAGTTTGAAAGCCTAAGTTTAGGCACCGCCCAATTTTCCAAGGCTAAGGCTTTGGATGTGATTGTATTTCATTGTTGATGGGAAAGTGGCCTTCACGTAAACAAATAGACAATGCAATAAGAGAAGGTTGACTATACTTAGTAGCCTCCACGTCCTTCAAAACTTTCCCTATATATACCACCCAATGGCAGTGCCCCTCCATCCTGCAATTCACATAGCTTTTTAACGTTAATCTTCTCTCCCAGCTCCAGGCCGATATCCCTGCAAAATGGCTAGCGGGCACCTGGCGGTTTTTATCTCATCGCTGTTGCTGCTCCCTCTGGCCTTCCCCTCCATAGCTGCTGCTTATGGAGACAACCCGCAAGGGAAGAAAACTGAGGTAGTTGTGGAAGGAGTGGTCTACTGCCAGAGCTGTGATAACTATGGATCATGGTCCTTGTCGAAAGCAGAACCGATCGCTTCAGCTAAAGTTAGTGTCATATGCAGAAACGACATGGACCAAGTTAGCTTCTACAAGGCTTTTGAAACAGACGGGAACGGCTACTTCTTTGCTGAGCTCAAAGGGTTCCAAATGAGCCATCCTGTCTTGGACCATCCCCTCCAATCTTGCCGAGTCAAGCTCGTTTCATCACCTCTCGAGAACTGCAACCTCCTGTCTAACGTTAACTACGGGCTCAATGGCTCTCCACTTCGTTACGAAAACAAGAGACTGGACCGAAAGGATTACGAGGTTGTGGTCTATGCTGCAGGTCCCTTGGCTTTCCGACCAGCTCATTGCCCTGCCCCAACCAACTATTAATGTCGCTGCTGATCATCTTTCGACCTGGATTAAGTTTTCATTTTGATTTGGATTCTTGTTTTTTCTGATCAGTTTATATTGGTAAATCGTTCTATTTCTTGAATAAATTGAACTCTGCTGCCACGCAGCATGCTGTTTTTGCTGCCGCAATTTTTCAGTTTTTTGTGTATGATTCTCAAGCATGATGGAATTTACATTGGGTTGAGCTCCAACAGAAATCAAAGTAAATAGGAAATGGGGTACATTTCAAAAAATTGTCACACGAAGAAACAAGATGGAAATTCCATCTACTCCATGGTTGTTACATCTCAAATACATGTGCCAGGTCAGGATAAAGGCTCAGGCAAATCCACCATGGCAATCTATCCAAACTTTCTTTCTTCTAGAAGTCCAGTGGCATTCCAAACATCTTATTTATATCATCCAGTGCTTCTTTTGTAAACACAGTTGGCTCAAATAAATCACAATCACTTAACTTGGCGGATGATTTTGAAGTGGGCAGGTGTTCTTGATTTTCCAATTCATCATCAGGAAGTATAGAAAACCCACCAACATCTTGATTCTTATTAACTGGGGCTTTTTCCTGCTTCTTTCTCTTTGCCCTTACAAAATCTATTGGCTTCCCAAACATGCTGTTGATATCTTGCATAGCCTCCTTCAAGTTAATGGTGGGATCGACTAAGCCATGGTGGCAAACGTTTTCTACCACTGGCTCATCTGAAATGGTCGAACCAACAAATCTGTGAACCACTGTATCCTCTCTAAGCTTTGGTCGTCGCAAACTTTGTGCATCAACATCATCTGAACTTTCAGGTGAATCATTAGGACAGGGAAACACAAACATATTTAGATGTGAAGCAGATGACACAGAATCCCCTTTCGAATTTTGAACCTCAATCTGTTCTAAGTTATCTTTCTCATCATTTCCTTCCCCAGCCTCACTATCTTCTTCATCATCAACATATATTTTAAATGAATCCTCCTGAGCCTGACAAGTTCGAGCTTTACCCTTTTGCCCCTTTTCCTCAGGTTGAATTGATGAGTTGATTCCACTATCCAAATTTTCATCAAACACCCTAAATCCAGAGTTCAAACTACAATCTTCTTTCTGTTGCCTTCGGTGTGATCTCCTCCCAATAGGAGCTGTCTCCAAAGGCTCTCGAAACATGCTGTTAATTGCATTCATTGCCTCCTTCATGTTTATTGTAGGATCCACCAGTCCATGATGGCAGGCATCTTCTGCCTCAGATTTACCAACAATAGCGGTATCAACAAACTTCACCACAACCGTATCATCATTCCGAATTCTCCTTGGTTCATCCAACTCTCTTTCCGTTAAAGCTCTCTTCTTCGATATACCATCATGTAATGCTGAAGACCTCTTATGCTTATCCTCAACTATGCATATGCCTTCACTGTTTTCTTTTGACTGGCTGCATTGGAGAGGCCTCCTAGCAGTTTTCCCTTCCTGGCGCTGCAGCACACCAGCAGCACAGTCAGACTGTGGGAAAAAGACAATGAAAACAAGCACACTAGGTAAGCAAACAAAAGGGTTACCTGGATTTTCTTCTTCCTATGTCTCTCCATTCGATTCAGGAATTGCTCATATGATTTTTGCAACTCATCAACTGGTTCTGCAAGGCTTTTCAACAAATGATAGAACTAAATCAAGCACTAGTTTGAGTTTCCAAAACGCATGCAACATCAATAATTACATATTTCATGCAATGTTGGAATTGAAACATTTGTTGCGGTTGAGTTAGAAAAATTGCACAGACTGAAGTATGACCAATTGATCTCACCAAAACACCTAAACTTTAAGTATAATCAAGTAATAAGAAGGTGAAATCAGTAAGTACATAAACTAAGCTTAATATCCATGATTAGTTACATGTTTCAAAAACAAGCTTCCACACTTAGCAAAACAATTGGATTGACAGATTATTCATATTAATTATCAAAAGCTGCTAGCAAACTGAAGAAAACTTACTTTTGAACACCCAAATGGTACATTGTCTCAGCCTCATCAAATTTCTTGATCTTCTCATAGTAAAGAGCATATGCCTGGTAGTACAAAGACCGTTTTGTCCCTATGTGATTCATCTCCATTCTTCTCAGCAGCAACCTCGGTTCATCCACAAAATCCATCTGCTCACCAAAACAAACCAACCCAGAAACCAAATAATTATAAGTTTCCAAACAAATGAAAAATGAAGAATGCATTCGTTAGTCAGTAAGTTACCAACTGTAACCAAACGCGGAGGTACCGTAAATCGTTACGGTAACGGCGATCGGATTCGAATGTTTGGGTGCATTTCTGCAAAAATCGAGGTAGCTTCTCGTTCAAAATCTCAGGTGGAAGTGACGCTTTCATTTTCTTAATCCCTCTGTGAAAAAAAGTTTGAGTTCATGTAAATGATTTGAACATCAAAAGAAAAAAGAAAAGAAGCTAATCGAGAGAGAGAGTACCGAAGCCATGGGAGAAGAGGGTCTTTGCCGGAGTAAGATTTGATCTCGGATATTACTGAAGAGAAGACATTGCTGTACATTGTCTCGTTCTTCTCTGCCATTTTTCTTTCTTTGGACAGATCGAGAGTGGAAAATGGAGTTTGCCAATGGAAAAAGGTTTCGGGCTGTGATCTTTTGAATTTATGTTATGGCACCAATCGGGTCGGTTCCGTATTGGATCTCGGATCTGAATCATGGGTCCTTTAGAAGAGGAATGATTAATGACCGAGTGACACGTGTTGATATCACTGCCGTTCTTTCCTTTTTCTTATTGATTATATAGTAGGTTACAGCCCTTTTCTTTTTCTTTTTAAATGAAGCATTGATCCAATTTCTAATAAAGAAAATATTCAATTTTTTTTTATAATTTGCATGATCACTAAATTTATAATTTTTAAATATTATCATGTTTAGTGAAATTACGCCTATGTTTCTTTAATCCTATAATCTTACTTTTAAGTTTTAATAATTTAAAAGTTTCAAATTCGGATTAAATCGATCCATTAACTTATTTTTAAGAAAATAAGACAATGAAAGAGCTCATTTAGTAATTCACCTTGATTTTATGAATTCATGAAGAGTGATAAATAATTTCATATAAAAAATTAATCGAAAGCGGAAATAATAAAAAATGAGTAAATGAAATTCTAGATTCATAACGAATAGCCTAAAGGTAATTGCACGGTTAGACAAATCTCTCCATTTATTTAAAAATGTCAAATAAATCTTCTTTTTTCATAAAAATAAATTAAAGTACATCAAAATGAAACAATCTCCTAATGAATTTGTTAAAATCTAGTTTAAATATCAAATAATTTTCATACATAACACCAATTTGCTCAATGCCAATCAAATTCTTTGAAAAGGGATATAAAATGTCCAAAATAAACTTAAAAAATACAGAAACAAATCGAAATTCACAAATTTAATAAGAAGAGGCGTGCTATACTTGAAATTAGATAAAGAAATCGAAGAAATTTAGAGATATTTCAATTGAAAAACTTAAAATAAATTAGTAATTTTTTAAATAATAATGATTGAATGATTACTTAAAATTCTTAACACTTTCATTGAAAAATTTTCATTTTAATGGTTTTTAAAATAAATTATCAAACATATTGAAAAAAAATTAAATCATTAAAAATATAAAATCCATTAATTTGAAAATTTTCAATTATTTATCAAACATACCAATTTTTTTAACAATAATCATCAATTATTTACCAATAACTAATAATTCATCTCTTATTTGCAATTAAATTCTGATAACTTGCAATTGTTTACAATCGTGTGTAGTTCATAACTTTAAAATGACTCAATCCACAAAAAAAAAATATTTGTGAACAAAAAGGAAATACAAAAGAGTAAGGGGGTATCTTAGCAAAAACAACATCCCTGGAGTACACTTTAGCATCTAAAACCTCAGCACCGCCACCCTCTTCCTCGCTTCACAGTTCTACGAAGTCGCAGGTTGGTTATTCTCCTTTTCCGTTTACAATGTCAAACCCGGATCCGAAACCCGACTCGACTCCACCTAATTCGAAACCCGACCCTGAACGCCCAAAACCTTTCAAAACCAATGACATCGAAGAAGAAGAAGAAGACGAAGACGACGAAAGCGAGCTCGAAGATGATGAGAACCAAAGCGACGACGTATTCGGAGAACCGAACCGCCCTAAACCGCAAGCACGGGAGGCTCGATTCCGTGCGGAGAAACTCAAAATGGACTCGCTGCTACAGCGAATGCAGAGCGGTCCCGTTTCCCTCCGAGTCCACGACGTGATCATCAAAGGGAACACGAAAACTAAGGACCACATCATTGAAGCCGAGACCGAGGAGTTGAAGAGCGTCGGCTCAATGCAAGAGCTCTTAAAAGCGTCACAATTGGTGAATTTGCGGCTCCAAGCGCTTGAAGTTTTCGATTCAGTGAAAATCACGCTCGATTCGGGCCCGCCGGAACTGCCCGGAACTGCTAACGTGATTATCGAGGTTGTCGAGACAGCGAGCCCGCTTTCGGGACAGATTGGAGCTTATACGAAAGCAGAGGTAAACCATTTTTTTCAGCTGATTTTTGAATGTTTACTTCTCTGTAATTTGATTGTTCCATTTTTGTATGTTTGGTTGCTGAGAAATTTAGCGGAAAACTGTTGCGATGTGGTTTTTGTAGACATGAGTTAAATGGAGTTCACGAAAAGTTGGAATGCGAATAAATAGTTTGAATTTGATATGCTGAAATGAAAATGCGCTATTAGATTTTGTGCTGAAAATTTGTATCGTGAAAGCTGTATTCTAATATGTAGAATGTCGCGAGTTACAGGATTCGCATGGCTTAAGAATTGATCTTTATGATATCTATTGAATAAAGCTGCATATATGCAATTCTACCTCCCAAATATTTTTAACTGTCAAGTATGATTTGCAGGATTTTGTTGTGTATGAGTAAAATTTGTGCCATGCTTCATACACAGATTTGCTTAGATATTCCATGGCACTCTACCTGCTTACAGAGTTAGTTTAGTTATGATTTGGTCATTACATGTAACTATAAACAAGTATATGTGATTGTAATATTTACACTGACTTTGACATGGAAAGTTCTGTTGCTTATGCCCTTTGATCCCTCATTTTTGTGAATTTATAAGCATACTATCTCAAGTGTTGTTTTCTAAAATTGTACAATGCTGTTATAGGCTAGATCTTCTACGGTGGAAGGATCGCTCAAGTACAAAAATCCGTTTGGTTATGGGGATCTTTGGGATGGTTCATTGGCATACGGCTGTGATCACTCTGCAGAGGTAAGTGCTGGCTTGTATTTGCCCAGATTCAAAGGACTGGTAACTCCTGTCACAGCACGAGCATTCTTACTATCCCAAGATTGGCTGAAGTTTTCTTCTTACAAAGAGCGATCTTTGGGCCTCTCTCTTGGCCTGTTTTCTACTACACATCATGATGTGGCATACAACCTTGCATGGCGAATGTTGACTGATCCATCACAAATGTCATCAAGGTCCATAAGGAGGCAGCTTGGACATAATTTACTTTCTTCTTTGAAGTATACATTTAAATTTGATAGGAGAAATTCAACTCTGAGGCCAACCCGGGGTTATGCTTTTGTTTCTACCACTCAGATTGGTGGCCTTGCACCTGATAGTCGGAGCTTAAGATTTTTGCGGCAGGTGTGTATTACATGTGCTTTTCTTTTGCCCCACCTTTTTTGCTGCATTTCTTTTTGAAGTTTTTAGAAGCATTCTTTTTTATTTTTTTTGTCTCACAATCATGCATTTGTACTTGTGTGGTAGAATTGCTGTTTTATTCTTTGTTTTGTCATTTTTTTCTGTTTATTCACTTTAGTTTTCTTTCCATATATGACAGGAATTTGATCTTCGTTACGCTGTTCCTCTTGGATTTTATCGTGCGGCTCTTAATTTTGGGATTTCTGGTGGTGTTGTCTTTCCATGGGGAAATGGGTTCTTGAGTAGGCCATCATCCCTGCCAGAGAGATTCTTCTTAGGTGGCAACATATCTCCAGTTTGCACTGTTGGAGGGCCAACGGCATTATGGGGATTTAAGACAAGGGGATTGGGTCCAACAGAGCCAAGAAGACAGGTTAATGATGAAAACGCTGATCCTTCTGGAGTAGATTTTCTTGGAGGAGACCTTGCTGTTACTGCTTTGGCAGACCTGTCTTTTGATCTTCCATTTAGGTGGTTTAGAGAAAAAGGAATCCATGCTCATGTTTTTGCATGTACTGGTAATGTTGCCAAGTTAACAGAGAATGAGTATCGAAATTTCTCTGTTCAGAAGTTTGTAGATTCACTCCGAAGTTCTGTAGGAGTTGGACTTGTTGTCCCTACAAGTTTATTCCGCATGGAGGTTTGCTCTCTCTCTCTCTCCAATTATTTTCAATCTAAGCTATTGAGAGCTTTTGAGATGTTTTATTTTCTATATTTTTTTTTGTATAATCTTATTGATAATCTAACTAGGACTTTTGTATTCCCTGATTGATCGAAGATTTTTGATAATCTTATTGGGTAGGATTTGTTTCTCCCTGAATTCCACACTTCATATAGACACTACTCAAAGATTGCAAACCGTGATAGATCTCTGACTCTGGTTGTTAAGGGAGTCAATGTCGTTTTAGTCCTTTTGCTTTTTTCAACTGTTTTGAATGTGTTAAGTTTCTTGATGAGAAAAGATATGGTGGGATTGAGTAGATTTCTATGTTAGCACTCCAGTTCAAATGGGACCGATTACATTTAATTTTGGCTTCTTGCTTTCCATTTTGTTCATTACGTTTGACAAGTCTTGGGACTGGCATTTTGTAGCTAACATGATTTTTCCTCCATTCTGGAACAGCTTAACTACTGCTATATACTGAAGAAGTTTGATCATGATCGGGCAAAAACTGGCTTTTGGCTTACCTTCTCTGGTGCATCATAGAATTTTGGACTTGATATAGGTGTCCGGCACCGTTGAGGCAACACTTAAAGCCTGTCATTCAGGCAATTGGGTTTTCCCGTACCTCGGAAATTCTGCTTCACTCCTCGGCATAGTTGTTTTGGAGTATCGTTGATTTTTTCTGTTGTCAAGTGTAGTTTTCACATTTATTTGGACAAAGTTCAGAAGGCTCACTTTTCCAGCTCAAGAGTATAAGAAAATAATGGTATTTGAGTTACCAGTGTACTTATAGCATCCCACAAAATCAGGGAACTTTCTATTCTCATCTCAAAAATTGTTTATTTTGAGCATCTGATTATTTATTGATTACGAGAAGACATTTTCCTGGAATACAAATTTTGACTGCTTATATTGTTACTCCAAATAATTGCTTCAATGGCTTCTTGAAAATCCAAGGCTAAACTTTTGAATTGGTGCAGTACTATGATGCATGAAACTTACAAGATTATTTATGGATTGGGGTTTACTTTCATTACCCTTTTGTTTGATATTTGTCAATACATTTTTATTTGCTGTTTACATGTGTAGAGTTATCTATAAATCGTAACTCATATTTATGAACGGTGATTAAAAGCATATTAAAAAATAATAAATTAAAAAATAGTGGTGGGGAGTTGGATTCAGTGATTACTTGATATGAGGAAAAAATACTTAAAAAGCATATTGAAAAGTAATGGACGGAATCGGATTAGATTATGTTTTTACATGAGTCGAGAATGTGATTTTTACACTTGGAATTATTTGGACTGTGCACAAAGCTCAACTCAAAAGGATTAGGGCCCTAGCTAAATATATTTAGGTGTTTGGGTTTAGGTTAATTTATCAGAATTGGGCTTTTTCTTAATTCAGGTCCACTTTGAATTTAACCCAATGGCCAATGCCTTTCAAAAGACCATAATTGGCATTAGGGTCAAACATTAGGGTGGACTTTACAGATTGGGAAATTGAAGCACAATCTGTCATACCAAAACCTTTCTATATTAACGTTCATAAGCCAACCAAGCCAGCGAGGCTTTTGTTCAAAATCGTGATTGACCTTTGATTTATTTATCGAAAAGGACTTATTCTTAATTAATTTTTTTAAAAAATGGAAAATATTAATTTTTTTATTCTACTTAATTCAATTTATTGATAATCACGAATTTTTTAAATATTAGATTTAACAAGATTATTTGTAAAGTTATTAATGAATTGAATGAAGGAAGGTCTTTATTTCTTATAAAATATACACATTTTCCCAACAAAAAGAAGGCTTAGGGTGAATTCCCACCAGCGAATGCGCAACAAATTGCGTTTGTTCCCCAATCTTGTTGAGTGGCCAAAACAAATACTAAATAGAACAAACTTGTGTTGAAAATCTGTCGATGGGAGAAATTCTAATACAACTATGCAGCAAAAGACATTCTATAAATTACTTGCACTTCCTTCACGCTTATCCCTTTCATGCCCTACCAAGACACAACTAATACAAGTCGGTTTCCTCGCGGAAAACATTTCTTGGACGGCTGTGATTTCTCCCACCAGGATGCCCGTGACTGTCAAGAACTTTTGAGCTAAGAAAGTTCGAAAGCCTTTCAGTTTTGTGGTTATCTGCCATTTTCAGGCAGGAAAAAGGCTCTTTCTTTTCATGCATGGAGGAAGAGAACACACACGAGTATGGAATTGGAATATAAGGTTTTTCATGCAGGCAAACAATTAATGCAATTCTCACCTAAACAGCCTTTTGTAAAAAGTACTCACTATCATGTGAATAACAGTAGGCTGCAGCTTCAAGTGTTGAATTGTTGATCAGTTTCATTCGGATCAGAAGAGTTTTACAGGATCCAGTTCATGACTTAATCTGCTTTTTTTACAATCTGTCTTGTCCAAACTTTTAGCTTTTGGGAGGGGAAGGGGAGTGGGGTTGGGAACTTGGGATCTGAATTCTAGTTTAACAGGCATAAATTGAGTGGTCCATGGCTGATGGCTCCATGCCATAGCCAGGAGGGAAGAAAGGCCAAGCTGACCCTTTGCTTTTGCCTAGCTGTAAGCAGCATACATGCAATGAAGGTCATCATTTTCTGCCTTCAGTTATCTCTCCAATTTCCCATTTCACAATCATTTTCCAAAGTTGTCTCTCTCAGACTTTCCCATAGGCCAAGTTCAGAATATGTCAATGACCCCAAGCCAAAGAGAGTGAGAGACCAAATTGAAAGAGAGATGATGGCATGAAAAGCCAGCCACATACCCGTAGCTGACAAGATCTTGAATTATTGTAATCTATTCATTCTAATAAGTATTTTCGATTTATCTTTTAATCATATTTTACAAAAAATTAACTCATTAAACTAAATTTCTACACGGTATTGACTCTTCTATCCTTCCCACTCCCTTCTAATTTTGGAGATGACTTTTCTTTCACTTCCAAGTAAAATCTTCATTGCCTTTATTCTAAACTACAAACATATAGTCAAATTGATCTTTTACATCAAAAAAACCTTAGCTTACATTCCCATTCCTCCAACATTCCCTTGTTTAGGTGGCACACCCCGAAGCAAGACCCCACCATGACGGTCCACACGTAGGGCATTTCATACGTTAATGGTTCGGTGAAGTGGGGTCAGGGTCATTGTTTCAGAATCTAAAGTAAGAAAGCCGAAGTGAAAGTCTCATAAAAAAGAGAACCATTTTTTTTTCCAAAGAAACCATTGACTCTGATGAGCTAGAATGGTGAATCAAGCTGAGTCTTCCAATGAGGGACAGGAAGACAAATCCGTGATTCTCGACGGAAAGACAGTGGCATATTTCTAAAGTTTTTGTGAGTGAAGTGACTGACAGGCCAGCACTTTCCTCTCTTTTTTGTTGCCTGATAGGACTAATTACTCCCATTGATTGATGAGAAACTATATGCCTTAACAACACGCATGCAAGGATAGCTCTCTCTCTCGGGTTTGCCTGCCTTATTTATGTCATCTTGTATTAGAGAAAGTCACGAGCTGTCAAGCCTAACCATTTCTTTTATAGAGCCAACAGTCCACAGGGTACTCGTTTACTGTGAATTTGTAGGGTCTGGCTTGGCCAAATCTAACCTTCAATTTCTAGTAGTATTTCCATAGATATACACCTCTTAGAATAATATATACAATTAATGGTCAATTAATTTCAAGTGAGGACAATGGTCTTCTTTTGGTAACTTGGCAGGATCTTAATTCTTGTTCTTATTATTAGTTTGTTGTGGTATCCATGATTTTTGCCCTTCACTTCCTTGTGATCATAGCCTATTTATTAATTATATTACTAATCATAATTATTATTTTATAAATACATGTCACTCTTTAATTAATATGCATCATGCATGGGTCATACAACTATAAAATAGCAGACTAAGAGAGAGGTATCTCTCCCTATATTTGTGAAGGAGCTAGGGTTGAACCTGTTGCTGCAAAGAAAGGTTCATATCTGTTGCATTCTAAAGCATAAAACCTCAACATATTCTCCCTCTTGCCTGATCTGAGGCGAGGAAAGCTGGTTGCAGACATTAAATTTTTTCAAGTCATTTTCCAGGCATGATCTCCCTGGATGACTTGAATCCCTAAACACTGCTGTTCTTTGATCATTTATACTTAGAGTTGCAAACAAAGACTTGCTAAAGATCATGATGGCAAGTGATAGTTTTGAAGATTCCGAGACGAGCCCGGACAACAACAACAACAACAAGGAAGGCTGCAGTGAAGATGAAGAGGAGGAGGTGAACAAGAGTAACAGCAAGGCAGCAAATGGAGAGAGCTCAAGCAATAGCTCAGTTGAAGAAAATGGGAAGAACTACGCGTCTGGATCTGTCCGGCGGTATAATCGTTCCAAGACACCCAGACTCCGGTGGACTCCTGATCTCCATCTTTGCTTCGTTCATGCAGTTGAAAGACTAGGAGGACAAGATAGTAAGTATTTGTATAAAAGCCAATGAAACCATGGATTTTTTTTTTCTTTTTTACTTGTGATGATGATATATAACCCTCTCAAAAAACCCAAATTTTTTTTTTCATGTTGTTATGTGTATAAGGAAATCCTACTAATTATATAGTATATAATCCAATTTGTTGGTGCAGGAGCAACACCCAAGTTGGTTCTTCAATTGATGAACATCAAAGGCCTTAGCATAGCTCATGTGAAGAGTCATCTACAGGTTTTTTGATCTTCCAAAGTTTCTTGGAACAAAAATTAAAGTTAATCATATATGATTTTTTTTCTCAAAGTTGATATATCTATATATTTTGACTTTTTCTGAATTTGTTTTGGTAGATGTACAGAAGCAAGAAGATTGATGACCCCAATCAAGGTAAGCTTAATTTATTCCATCAACAAACAGTACATAGATTTTAGCCTTAGGGTTTGTTTTCAAGGTGTCTTAGGGCTAGTTTTCTCTCTAATGAAAGTATATATATTTCCATATACATGGCAGCCATGACAGAGCAAGGGCTTCTGTTTGAAGGTGGAGATCACCCTACATACAAACTCAGCCACCTTCCCATACTGCGCAGTCTTGATAATCAGAGGCCTTCTTCAAGTTTTCGGTATAAAGAGCTGTTATATTTTTCCCTACTTTGAGGAAATCAGTATCATGTTTACGTTTTTTGAACTGAAAAATGGATTTTTTTTTTTGATTAAAAGAGGAAAAGGAAATGTGACTAAATTAGATGTTTTATCATCTTTTGAAGGTATGGTGATGTTTCGTGGAGAGGGAATGATCAAAAGGTCTATGGCTCTCATAGGGGAGGCAGTGCATTGGCATTGGATATAGCAACAAAAGGGCTTTACACTTCAGTCACAGAGAGATTGTTTGGAAGCTATAACAATAACTCACTTGGCATTAGTTCCCCAATGGCTGAATCTTGTGTCAGAGGGAAAGCTGCTTCAGGAAGAAGAACTCACCAACTGCTGGAAGAACTTCAATCTCTTCCCGGATCCTGGCAAACACAAACAAGGCCAAGCAGAATAGGTCCCATTACTTTCACAGCTCAGTTTCAGGAGAGAGTAACAGATCAAACTAGATGTCTGAGCAGCATCAACAATTCAAAGCAAAATAGCTGGAAAATGACTCAAGAATCCCAAGACAGACAGAAGAGGAAGACTGCGGATTCAAATCATGACCTGGATTTAAAGTTATCCCTGAAAATGACACCACCAAACATTAATGATGATGATGAATTTGAAAGGGATAGTTTGGAAGGATTTGCTAGTAGTTTGTCTCTTTCCTTATCTTCACCTTCATCATCTTCGAAGCTTAGCAGCTTGAAGGAAGGAAATGCTGATGGCAGAAAGCATGCAAGGACCATGGCAAGTACCCTGGATCTGACTCTATGAAAGAGACATTAAGTGATCAGATCTTGAAGTACTTGATCAATGAGACAATTCATAATCAATGTGGAATGAGACAATTCGTAATCAATGCGAATCGTTGCCAATGTTAACCTGAAAATGTATAAATATCAGTAACCGACTTGATCCTCTTTTGTTGTTAGTGCATGGATTTTCGAGAAAATATTGGATGAAATAATAATTTTAGCATTAGGATTAATTTGGGATTTAAGGACACTCTTTGCTTAACTAGAATTTACTTATAGGAAGAAATAAACCAAAAGACAATAACTCAGAATTGATCAAGAACCATGTCTGGAACTTAGCTAATTAATATATAGTAATTATCTCTGAAATTATGTTGAAAAAAGACATGTCTCAGAGAGAATATAGTATTTCTCAATGCTCAAGTTTTCTCTCACCCCTTCTGCCTCTATTGTATTATTGTTGGCAATCATTACAGGCAGATGTATTTGACAGGAAATTATAATGCAGTGATCTTACAAGAGAGTTACATCAAAATCAACATTATTCTATGCTTGTAGATATCTTGGGGGGCAGAAGATTTTTTCCTGAAGGGCTTTAGCATCTTAATTCAGAAATTAGTGTATGCATGGTTCTGTGTTCATCATAAATGCAAATGGGTTTCTATAGCTTTATGTGATGTGAGAGAGCCAGCTGTGAATGCATTTGCTCCTGCCTATGTACTAATTCATGCACTCATCAAATGAATATTTGTTACATTTCGATTTTAAAATTTTTTTAAAAGTAAATATATATATATATATATATTCTTGCAAAAGTTATAGTTTAAGCTTGGGATTGATTCTAAATTGCTCACTAAGGTTATAACATGTTGTATGTATCCTATGCCTCAGTTGCTCTTAAATTTCATTTTCTACATTGATGATGAAGAAGAAATTAATCTAAATAGAGAACACAAAGCTTATTTAAATAATGGAAAATATCCTGAAGATCCTAAAGGGAAAAAAATGGAAAAAGAAAAAAAGAAGCTTATAAGTAAACAAATTTTTTTTTAAAAAATAAAGGGTTGATTAAGTTATGCTTGTAGGAAATAAGTTCCACATGCTAACTTTGGTTGCAATTTTCTTTGGACTTCTCTTCAATCTCACTTCAATGTTTAATGGTTTTGTCACTTCCTGTTGCAATTTTTCTTATTATATGCCCAAAATTTGAGTAAATTATCAGTTCAAAAAAGGATTGAAACAAATCTTAATGCCACACAAGCAGATTAAGATCTTAAAAACCTTAAACACTTATTTCGATTAAGATTGAAAGCAAGAATGTTCCCAAGCCTTATTCTTATACCAATCCGTGACCTACCAAAGTCCAAATTTGTCTTAAAAACAGGCTTGAGACCTGAGGCTAAGCTCCAAAACTTTCTTGGTCTTTGGACTGAAAGAAGATGGCCCAAGGTTCCTTCGAGCAACCAAGTCTTGGATATGCCCCAAGGTTCAGCCAGGGACCAAGGCTAGGATATGCACCAAGGTTCGGCCCTGGAACCAAGCCTAGAACAAGCCGGAAAGGGCCCCCAAGGTTCACCACTTCACTTCCCAACAAGTGAAACACATGAACAGAACAAAGATTTTTTCCATCTCTTCGATCCCCACGTGCCATGCAAGTAACCAAAAAGGAAAAGAAAACCCAAGAAAATCACAAGAACCAATCGAAATTGAGCAAAAGATGAGGTTTTTCAACCCTTTCAGGACAAAACCGCACAACCTGACACGTACGGTTTTTTTTGACAGTTATTTTCCAAACCCCACACTTTCTGTTCAGTTCCCTGTTTCCCCCGCCGCGCAGGCTCCTCGGTATATGCTCCAGCATCTGTTCTTATCCTCCTGTCCTCTCTTCCCTGTCCCTCCCCCTCTCTTTTTCTGTTCTTTTCTTTTCTTTGTCATTTCTTTTCATTGTGAACGATGGCCAGCAGCACAAGAACTTCTTCTCTTCTTCTTCTTAATCATAAAAACAACCATTCTGTTTTCTCTTTAAACACAAAAAGACCTTCTCTTTTCCACTCTTTCCCTTCTGTTTCTCCCAGAATCCTCTTTCTCTGTCTCTTCTCTCTATCGCTCTCCTCTTCTCCACATCACCGCCACTTCCAGCAGCATCACACGCGTCTCCACAGCGGCTCTAAGTACGCGCCACCAGCACCGACTCCAACAATTTCCAGCAGGAAATCTCCCGCCTCAAAGTGCTGCGTTTGAAACTCTCAGCTTCAAAAACTCTAAAGCAGAACTCAAACTTCTCAACTCTGATTCGAAAGTCAAGCATTTTTTAAATACCCGAGGTTTTGAAAGGGTTTTAGGTTCGCTCTGTTTGGGATTAGACGAGTTGTTTCTGGTCAAATGTTTGGTTGCAGCTGGTCAAGAGCACGTGCTCGAAATGGGTTTTGGATTTGGAGAGAAAGGAGGGGATGGAGTGAGGAGTTCTGTCAAGACCGCGCTTTATGCTTTGGTGGAAATGATTGAGAAATGGGATGTGAATAATGGTGGTGTGAGAGAGGGTTTTGTGAAGAGTCCGAACGGTAACGTTTTGGAGGATGAGGACAGTGTGGACTTGAGAAAGTTGCTGAAGATTTTGGGAGAGATTGAGGAGTTTATGGTTGCATTGGAGGACTTTATTGGGTAAGTTTTTCTCTGCTCCTTCATGTATGTTTTTGCATTTTTGTTGGTGGAAGTGAAAATGTTGAGGAAAAAAGAATAGTTTATGGCCAATATGTAAGTAAAATGATGATTAAGTTTAGTTAAATCAGTGTTTTCCTTTCCTAGGTGGAAGGATTGGATTTTGAGGGAATCGAAAGCTGCCATTGTTCATAATCAGTGTTTTCCTTTGCTGTTTCCTTATGTTAATTGCAGCTTCATTTGTTCTGACTCTGTTTAAAAGCATTTTCACCTTGTATGCAAACTTTCCTTTTATAGCTGTGTATGTGTAGCAATCTGCTTAAATAGGATGTAAGCATAGTTTAGCTGTTTTGCATGAATTGATTTTCATACATCTCACTAGGATAAGAAATGTATACATAAGCTAACATTTAGGCTGCATTCTAGCTAAAGCATGAGATAATACAAAGAAAGGGCTCAATTGGTAACAGAAGAATCTGGCAGAGGTATTACCTTGAAGATTCTGGCAGAAATTACACCCTTCATGCTCTTGGAGAAGGCTTCTTAGCTCCGTGTCATTATCCTCTGCCTTTATTCTACTCCATAAATGGCTTGGGTCAAAATGACTTTCTTTTGAACTGTTCTATTTTCAGATCCCAAGGAAGACTTTGTTAATATTAAATGCAAAATCAAAATTCCCATCTTTGCCATTTCTTTTACATATCCTAATTGGGTGGGCAGAGGATTGAGTCATTTTCTTGACATAACTTTCCAGATATCTTTACTATATACGGAACTTATTTCATGATTGCTTGGTTGTTTTCCTCCTTATTTCTTCTTTTCACATATTTTCAGATAGTTCAATGTCATAAATTTTGGAATATTCTAAATAGTTTAAATAAAATACTTGCTGCAGATATCAGATAATGGTGCTGGAGCTTCTTGCCCGATCCTCACATGAAATGCAGACTACAAATCACTCCCAGCATGTACATGAATCAATGGAATGCCAGTTTTTGGAAATTCATGTGCCTACTGGATGTGACCTTTCTCAAAATACAGAATATGCATCTCAGGCAGCTTTATGGGGAATTGAGGTTAGTGGCGAGCGTGCCCTGTTCATGTAAATGAAAAGGATGTGCCACAAGTTTGCTTGAATAATAAGATCTTATCCTTTTTAGGGTTTGCCAGACTTAGGTGAAATATATCCTTTGGGAGGTTCAGCAGACAGGCTTGGATTGATTGATCCTGACACTGGTGAATGTCTTCCGGCTGCAATGCTTCCTTATTGTGGGAGGACATTATTGGAAGGTCTTATCAGAGATCTTCAGGTATGAGATCACTGTTGTAAAGCCTGAAACATTAGTTTATGTTTATGATGCTTCACGAAAAGATAACAGTTAAGTGATTCATTACTAGAAAACAAATTATAAGTACACACTTTATTTTGACATCATGTTTTATTTTGTAATTGCAAGGCTAGAGAGTTCCTGTACTTCAAGTTGTATGGAAAACAATGCATCACTCCTGTTGCAATCATGACAAGTTCAGCAAAGAACAACCATGAACATATTACTTCACTTTGTGAAAGACTTGGATGGTTTGGAAGAGGACGATCAAGTTTCCAACTCTTTGAACAGGTTTTGAGTTGACACTATGAAGATGCCTTCTACTGTCTCTTCTATTCCATTAAATAAATATTGTGGTTATTTTAGTAATTTGACTTCTAAATTGTCAGCCTCTAGTTCCGACTGTAAGCGCAGAGGACGGGCAATGGTTGGTCAGGAAACCATTTGTGCCTGTATGCAAGCCTGGTGGTCATGGTGTAATATGGAAACTTGCTTATGACAAAGGCATCTTTCAATGGTTTTATGATCATGGAAGGAAAGGTGCTACTGTTCGGCAAGTCAGGTTAACCATATTTACTATATATCAGAAATTATTTGCAAACATTATCATGTACCAGTTGCTGAATTTAAGATTTCCATGGGTGAGTTTGCAGTAATGTTGTGGCTGCTACAGATGTGACCCTCTTGGCATTAGCAGGGATTGGTTTACATCACGGAAAGGTAAGCTCATGTTGGAAACACTGATATAGTATGCTCTTCCTTTTGTGGGCCTAACAAAATCAGATTGAGGTAGAATGTGTCTGCTAATGTTTTCAAACGTTTTTCTTTCAATTTGCATGTTACAATCAAGGATAAGATCTCTAGGAGTTCTTTGATAAGTTTGATTAGGAAGTTTATTGCACATTTGAAGATACACATCTCTGGTCATATGCTGAGTTCATCTGGACCTAAGTCTTTTGATATCTAGCATTGTCATGCTGATTCTATTTGTAACAGAAACTGGGATTTGCTTCCTGCAAACGGAACTCAGGGGCTACAGAAGGTGTCAATGTTCTAATTGAGAAGAAGAACCTTGATGGGAAGTGGGCATATGGTTTGTCATGCATTGAATACACTGAGTTTGATAAGTTTGGAATCACAAGCGGACCTCCTTCACCTGATAGGTACACAGTAATTTTTGCTAAAATATGGTTATAAGCATGCAGATTTAATTTTGCCTTTTGATTTTCATTGTGCTTTTTAACATCAATATAATAGCTCTCCAGGTTATTGCATAATGTTTTTCATGTACATCTTTTTCTTCAAGAACTTACTGCAAGCAATAAAGTCAGAAATTTCTCTTCCTTGTGTCAAGTTTGCAGGCAGAGTTCCCTGCCAATACCAACATTCTTTATGTGGATCTACCTTCTGCTGAACTAGTTGGATCAACAAGAAGTGAAAGAAGTTTACCTGGTGTAGTATTAAATACAAAGAAGTCAGTTGTATATACGGATTATTTTGGAAACTGGCACAGGTAGTTAGCCTGTTTCTTTTGACAGGGGTAGCTAGTTTGTTTTTGATAAATTTTAACTTGCATTTCATATTTCACTGCCCTTGTTTGCACAATTGATTGAAGTATGCATCATGTTCCTTGTCAACTTTTTTGAAATTAATAACCAACGCTAGTATAACTATCAGTTTTTGCTGATGATGACCCTGGCACTAATGCTGACAACTTTCTACTTGCAGTGTCCGCGGTGGCAGGTTGGAGTGCACTATGCAAAACATTGCAGATAATTTTCTTAATACATATTCATCTAGATGTTACAAGGGTGTGGAAGGTATGGTATTGGCTAGGTTCGACTGTTGCTTCTCTTGTCCATCATGCGTTATCATCTGGTTAACATCACACCTACATATGTCTACAGATAAATTGGATACTTTTATTGTTTATAATGAAAGGAGAAGGGTTACATCATCTGCTAAGAAGAAAAGAAAACCTACAGACATGTCTCTCCACCAGGTAGTTTTCTGGATATTCTTCTTGTGCATCCTTGTTCTAGTATCAAATGAAACTGCTTCAGATTCAAATTTGGCTTTCTGGGAGATCAGATGCTCAATATCATTTATTTTTTGTGTATCTTCCTATATTAATTAGTGGCTTTCTTGTTCTCGCTCTCCTGATTTATTATTTGAATTCCTTTTGGTTCATTTGAGCATACTCACCTCATGCTGTTAAGTTAATTTTGGTTTCTCCAACAGTAATATAAGTATGAGTTATTGTGCAGACTCCTGATGGTTCACTGTTGGATATCATGCGGAATGCCTATGATCTTCTTTCGCACTGTGATATTGATCTTCCTGAGGTATTTCCTATAAGAGTTCTTGCAATATTACTGCCCAAATCAGTTTCAGTTGAATGACATGGATTGTCACCATGTAGTAGATCTGCTTATTATTTAGTAGTTATGTTCATTATGATGTGCAAGAAATTGTTAAAATTTTCCAGTATTTGTGTAAAAAATAAAAATCAAACCTCGCCATAAGTGGTGAATGTCCTATTCAAGTGTATTGAGCTATAGTGTTCTCTTTCATATTATGCAGGTTGAAGGTAATGATAAGTATGTAGACTCTGGACCACCATTTCTCATCTCTCTTCATCCCGCACTTGGCCCACTTTGGGAGGTCACTAGACAGAAAGTAAGTATATTCAGGCTTTTGCTAGACTCAAAAGTTTTTGCTGTTAATGCTTCTTTTTGCCGTTTTGGTGTAATTGTTCTGGGACTTTGTAGATAGAAGATCATAAATCCATTTCAGCCAAAACTTGTTGTTAACTTTCAAAAGTTCCAGAATTAAAGGTGTAATGCTAATCATCAATGCATCATATTTTGGAGTAATAATGATGTTTTCTTTGCCTTCTCAGTTTAGTGGGGGTTCCATTTCAAAGGGCTCAGAATTACAAATAGAGGTTGCAGAGTTCTTATGGAGAAATGTTCAGGTTATAATCTCTTGACATATGGTTTAACTAATGCATGCTAGATCATTATCTTTTATGCTGATATGGTTTGTTTCTTCCAGCTTGAAGGGAGCATGATTATTGCAGCTGAAAACATTATGGGCTCAACTAGTGTTGATGAAAATGGTGAACCAACACTACAATATGGGCACAGGTTTGATATTGCATGCTTTTCCAAGAATCTTCAAAGATGATATCAAACAAATTCTCAGGTTCAAAAGTGAGTTCATCTATGCAGGTATGGAAGATGTAAATTACGTAATGTAAAGGTGCTGAATGATGGAATTGACTGGAGTTCTGGAGATAATGTATATTGGAAGCATGATGTTCGTCGTTTTGAGGCACTTAAGGTCATACTTCATGGAAATGCTGAGTTTGAGGCCAGCAATGTTGCCATACAGGTTGTATGAGATAACAGTCTCAATATTTAGCTTTATGTTGCATTCCAGGAATGATATAACGAATCCAATCAGTTCTTTCTTTGTATGGTTCCAAGCACCTTAAACTTCATCATGGCATGCATTGACTCATGCACACACGTACATATAGGCAGCTGCCATTCTTGGATCCATGCAGTGAATAATTTTTCCTTCTATACAGGGAAATCAAGTATTTGAAGTTCCAGATGGCCACAGATTGAAGATCACTTCTGGAGATCCAGGTTTTTATACCTCAATATGTCTTGCTTCTTTACTTCCTAGAATGCCTAATTAGAGCTCACTTACTTTTATTGTTGTTATTAGGTTTTTAGTTTCAGATTTGTCCTGTCAATCTTCCCCTCGAGGGATGTAGAAATTACGCGATTGGGGACTTCTTTGGTCTCCTATAATTATAATTCAATCACCTTCTATTTTTAGTATCTGTAAATTTTCGGAAACTTGGTTATAGTTTTAGTTTATTACTATCTATCATCTAACAAATAAGTTTGCTGTTATGCTTCTAGAATTTCCTCCAATTTGATACAAATTTTTTATCGTTAATTCATCTGTAGTATTTTGTCTATTTCAGGTCTAGCTCTTCAGTTGGACCCCTTACCACAGAATCTGATGGATAGAGGAAGCTGGTTCTGGAAATACAATATCAATGGCTCTCACATTTTGTTGGAATTAATAGAGTTGTGAAATAATAGCCAGATGCTTACCCTTGCTTTTATGTGAATCATGGTTCACGAATGCTGAGCTTCGACCTCTCTGATTCTGATTGGTTGAACATAAGTTTAACCTTTTCTGGACTAGGATGTTTCATTATAGTAAATTGAATTCGAGTCATCTAGAAAGTTATGAAGTCCCGGCCATAGTTCTTTGCATATAATTCTTTTTTATTGTAGTTACATTACTCATGTAACTTACAATGTAAAAGAACAGTGTAAAAGTCCCAGCAATGGAATCTGTATCTATGTTTATCAAAATTCTTGTATTCATATTCCATCTGCTAGTAATAAAAGACATTGAAAGTAATATTATGAGGATCAGAAGCAGATTATTATCCTTTATTGCAAACTGGCCTATCATGAAGGTGATTTAAAGCTGAATGATGAGATTCATTTACAGTACGACTGTTACACTTTCTTTCTTTCTTTTGTCCAAATCCACAAATTTACACTCTCTAGATGTTGGTGACATGCTATCCGACTGGATTGTGAGATTTGGAGCAGCACCTGTTGAGCAATCTAAGCAGTGCATCAGCCTTTCTTCGCGCTTTCAAAGAGCCATCAGCAGCCAAACTTTGAAGGGAAGGAATACTTCGCGGATTGATCAACAGGCGTCTGGCAACTTCCTCTCCTCCATCTTTGCACAACCCCAGCAAAAGTGTTATAGAGTTCTCCTTCCCTTTGGCTGATCCAAATCTCAAGAGATCAATGAGAAGAGGCACCAAAACTCTGCTCTTCTTTATAGCTTCAAGCCCTTCAGGGCAGCTCAGAAGTAGAGCCAGCACTCCCAAGGCATCATCAGTTACGCCTGCCTTGTCATCCATCAACAATTCAACGAGCAAAGGGACTGTCTCAGCAGCAATGATGCTTGCTTTGTTAGCATTATAAAGTGCAAGGTTGAATATTGCAGTTGCAGCATCCCTTTTGGCAACTGTTGTTCCTTCTCTCAAGAGCCCAACCAGGGCCAGAATTGTTCTCGGTCGAGGCCCAATTGCCATCTTGAAGTCATCTATCATTGACAGGCTAAATATTGTTGCTGCTGCGTTTCCTCTTGCGTCCATGGTTTTTCCTGATTCCAAAACTTCAACTATGTTGTCAATTGCTCCAGCTGCCATTATTAAGACCTTGTTGTTATCAAAAATGGAAAGATTGAGCAAGGCAGTGACAGCATTTTCCTGGATTCTCGGATCATTGGAACTTAGCAACGTCACAAGAAATGGTATAGCTCCTGCCTCTGCAATTATCCTGCGATTATCCATGCCAGTTTTCGCAAGCAACCGCAGCTCATAAGCTGCTTGCCTTTGGATATCGGGGGACCCCATTACTAACTTCCCCACTAAAAACTCAGCTGTCATTTTGACAGCATCTATTGCCACTTTCGTCGCAGAAATGTGATCAATGGCTTTCTCACAGGCTTTTTGCTCGCTATTACTTCTCTCCAACTCTGATGTATTTGAAGATGAACATTCTGTAAATGGGATATTGTTCTCTCGGCACCATTGGTGCACTAGACTCTTGAGTGCATAGTTGGGTATCAAGGCCATGTGAATTAACCTCTGCCCACTTTTCGGACATGTGTGATGTCCTGTGTTGATCCATTGAGCTATTGAATTTCGTTCGTATGTATGCCCAGATGCTACGATCACTGGATCTTTCATCAGGTCAAGCGAAATCGGGCAACGAAATTCATCGGGGATATTTGAAGACATTGACTGAGAAGATGAAGACTGATCAAGATTTCTGTTTATGGAACCACATAACTGGTTGATGTCTTCTTTGTTCTTCTCACATTCTTCACTACTAGAGAAAATCATGGATTTGGAATATGAAACAAAGGATATGAGATTGTTTATGTTGGAAACTACAAACAGTCCTCCTGTACCTGCCTGTTTCAGTGCTTCTGCCTCTAGCTTTGATATCTCTTCCTCATAATCCAGTGGACTTCTCAACCCAATGCTGCTCAAAACTTCTTTCACTGTTTCAATGTCAACGAACCGTTGGTTCTTCCTGTTCTTTCCATTGTTAGAGGCCATTACTTGGAGAAGCTCTTCCCTTGTTTGAACCTCCCTGGGGTCTACATACAATTCAGCCCTTTTCGCCTGCTTGTGAAGCAGCTCAACTTGCTCTTTGATATCTGTCGTTATATTTAGCAAACTCAGAGGTAGAATGTCGAGTGCCCTCCCCATCTCCTTCACTATCACATAGAATTGATTGGAAATGAGCTCTGTCTGTATCAGGCCCCAAAGAGAGCTACCATCCTTGCACCCTTCGATCAAAACTTTCACTCTCCGGATCACAGAGAAAAGCTCAGTAAGACACAAGACTAGAGATGGAGGGAGCGGGCTGTTTATTTCCTGAATCTCTTCAAACAAAGATGAAAGGAGCTTGATCCTCCTCATCATGGTTGAAATGTTCCTAACCTCTACATAAGGAAGCTTTTCCATTGAAGCTACTTCATTAGATACATGAATCAAGGACTGCAACAAAGACCCAGATGACAAGAATCCCGAGGACGCCATCACAGGAGGGAGAGCCAATTCCATGACTGAATTTCTCTCCTAGAGTGAGTCAGTTCCTGAAGCAGTTTGCCACCATTTTTTACATGCCAAAGGTTTTATCACAAAGTTAGGTAACGTTGAACAAACTTCTCGATTATCATTCTTTGCATGGAAATCTTGACTGCTTCTCTTTGTACATTTAACAGAAAAAGACAACAGGGTGGATGCCAGCAGGTGAACCATGGACTTCCAGGCTGCTGCCACTTGGAGGACTTCCCTGGTTCAAAGGGTTAGTTATATTCCCCGCCAGTTTTATATTCAAAAAACACTGAATTATTTAACCAGTCTTGTCAACTTTTCTGTTTGGTAGCTTCCTAGACTAGTTTCTGGCAAATATTTTATTTTTTTGTCATTTTTAGACTGTTTTACCGAAGAATTGTTTAGCTTTTCAACTTCTTTTTTTTAAGCTTGCATCCATTTGACTGGTTGAATGATGTATGATTTTTTTATTTAAAAAATAAAATTTATCTTTATCCCTATAGAACAATGCAGGATCATGGGAGACACTTTCATCTCAGTAATAGTTGATCACCACACCCCATTTCCATTGCTTGATTCAGATTGTGTTATGTTCTGAAACTGATTTGGTTTCTTATTGGTGTAGGTAATAATCTGAAACATTCTTAGATTTGACATCTCATGTGTGCCTAATAGTTAATAATTGTAAACAATCAAAGTCAAATCTTCGATAATCGAAACTTTCAACTACTATACATTTACAACGTAGTAATTTCTTGCAAGAAATAACAATTTTTTTTTAAAATTGTAATATTTCTGGCCAAATTTTTTTTAAAAAAAAAACACGATTAAAAATATTTCATTAGACATAAAAAATCTTAATTATTGTTTAAATATTTTATATTTTATTCGAAAATATCATTTTAGGGATAAGAATTATTCAAGAATGTTAAAAACTATCTATTGTTTCTTCATCGGTTGTAAAGTTGAATTCAATTCATACGACTTGAAAAATTGAAACTTCCAAGTCAAAAAGCCTAAGCCAAATCTTTTTGATCTAGCCTTCCCTTGAATTCAGCAGTCAGATGAGAAAAGGGTTTAACTCCAAGGCGAAACAGCGTTAAAGCCAAATCCCGCTTGTGCTTTTTCTCTTACAATAGACTAGGTCACCAACTGAATTTGGCACGTTCTGTTTGGCTTACTTGCGTCAGAGGAAACATTTCTTTAATCAGCACTCTTACTACATTTTCAACTCTTCGCTTTATTCTACTTCACAATATCTGATCTAAGGCATCGGCCAGCAACAGTATGTAGGACAACTTGCATGAGTGTTACAACATCAACGTTGAAAACGACACAATCATATGTACTCAATGTTCCTGTTCCAAGGCATTTGATTAACACTATTTCCGTTTTTAAATACTCGCCTTTCTTCGATTTTTACGAAAATTCACATAAAAAATTCGATTTAAATATATTTTCTATTAAATTTCTTTTAAAAAAATTATAATATAAATATGTGGATGCTCTTTAATATGAAAAAAATTAAAAAAAATTATGAAAAACCAATTTATAATATATAAAAAAATAACAAACGTCTAAAAGCAATGCATCCGTTGTAAGAATTCGGCGTGTTAACTTTTTTGAGAAAACATTTTACTCATCTAATTATATTATTGTTAATTCGTTATACTGTATATACATATATAATTTAAATATTCAAAGGTAATTAAAGACAAATAACCCAAAAACTCTATAAATTTACCAATGTATGAATTTTTAATCTTTGGCTAATATTAGCATACGAGGCTGTCCATATATGCAAAGAATATGCCAAAAACATCAATAATTATTTTACTCAATTATTTTAAAGAGTCTCTCCACTTTTTTCTAAAAAAAAAATTGTGTGCGAATTGACATGACCTTACAAGGGAAAAAAAGTGAGGCTTCAAGATGGCCCTTTTTCTAATGCTTTGATGTATTTGGTAAGCCTTAGTTTGTAATTTTTGTTAACTTTATGCTTTGCCACATGGAGAACATCATTGTCATCATAGTCATAAAATCTTATAAGCAACAACAACCACCATTTTTTCTTTACTAGCTAATTCCATGCAATATAAATAATAATGTCAATAAAAAAAATCAATTTCCTCACAAAAAATAAATAACATGTAATAAGATAATCTTTTATCGTAATCAAACGAGTCAGAAAAATTAATTGTTGATCAACCTAATACCAATTAATATTTTTTTATCTAAATAACATATGACATGGACAGTTAACGTGTCAACCATGTTAATCGTTACATGATTATACTAACTCATATGTCATGTAAACATAAAATGATAGCTGTGAGATTTAATAATAGTTAATTTTTTTTTATACATTTAAAGTCTTGTTTGAATGTAAATTAAAGTTTAAAAATACGTTTTAGTTAAAGAATGGCTAAGTAGAGGAATTTTTTTAATTATTTATGTTGAAATTCTAATTTTATTATTTACTATGTTTATAAGAATGATATAAAGTATTGATTAAGAGTAGTACATACTAAAATTTTCTTGGATTCTTCATTGGATGAAATTATTTGCAAGTCCCATCTCAAGATCTAGACAATAAAACCATAAGAGATTTCAATGCTAATACTTTTGAAGGTGAAAGAGCTATGCTTCTTTCTCCTCCTTCATTAGTGTTGTGGGCTCTCACAAGTCAAACGTTTGGAAAGGTGGTGATGATGGGTCTAATCAATTGCAAGAATGAATAGTGGAGGTGGAGCAACACCAAAGTCAATCTACAGTCTCCCACACACAATCATTTTACAACCCGAACCAATAGTGGAGCCTTTCCTTCTATCCTCTCCATATCAATCAACAATTCTTTTGGGCCGGCCCATTCCCCCCCGCCCCCAGTCCCCTCTCTCTTTTCGTTCTTTCTGCTGGAAACGCAAGCCTTTTTCGCGTGTCGATCACAGTCCGTTTGATATCGGGACCCATACCCATCGGACGGATCGTGTCGTAACCCATATTAGCCTTTGGTTTTGTATTAAGTTAGGTTTCATTGTTTTTAGAGAGAAAACGACAAGCATTAAAACAAGTGGGCTCTTTGGGAGGAGCATTATCATCTCTCTCTCTCTCTTTCCTCCTTTCCCTACCACACAATTTGTTTGAAGTGACAACTTTCTAACTCATTTCTCGAAACTTTGATTGGTAATAGAAAAATAAAATATAAATTCTGATTTTCAATATTTAAATTTACCATTCTCTTTTATTTTGTATAATTTTTTTGCTATAAATATAAGAACAAACTCGGTAACCAATGAGAATATAATAATTTGCGATCAAATTGAAATTTGTATAGAGATAATATAATTGGATATTTTATACTATTCAATTCGATTAACGTATATCTTATTCGTTGTCATTTTTAATTTGTAAAATTGGATGATAGGCAAAACCGAGATCGAGATGGAAGGGAACTTATCAAAAAATTTAGATCTATTTTTTCCCATAAAACCAAATAATGTTTCACTAGGGACTATGTAATTTTCCCATTTCAGAAAAAAAAAATTAAAGGGGTTACAACTTTGGCTCCACAAAATGCAAAGTAGGGATTCCTTATTGATCTTTTTCACCCTTTCTAGCCTTTCATGGGGATAAAGCCTCAAGCAATCTCTAGGGCTCAATGCTTTTCTTGTGAAAAGTTCTCTTCTGTCCAATCAAATGGGGTCTCTCATCTTTAATCGAAGAACTGCCACATCACAACCAAACTCACCAATACTTATTTATAATGCTGCCCCATGTACAATTATTTCTAGCCCCACTTCCAAGACATAAAACAAAATAAATACATTTTCTCTTGTGTTTTCTTTTTTCTCTCTTTCCAAGTCTTTGAATCAATGTTTTTGTCTTAGATATTTTTCAAGATTGAGGGAACAAGTTCTTCATTTGTTTTACTTATGGAGAATTATTTTATTCATTAACACAAGAGGTTGTTAAATTTTGTAGACGAGATTAAAGGTTCAACAAGTTTTTCGTTTATGAAATGAATACATTTTTAATTAAATTCACTGAGATTCTATTAGTATTTTATTAGAGTCTATTTATGAAATGGATAGTTTCAATTAAAAGTTCAACAAGTGTTTCGTATATTTATGAAATGGGTACATTTTCAATTACATTCACCGAGATTTGACAAGTATTTTATTGGAGTATATTTATGAAATGGTTATGAGGTTTGATTAATATTTCATTAAAGTATATTTATAAAATGGATAGTTTCAATTAAAAGTTTAATAAGTGTTTCGTATATTTATGAAATGAGTACATTTTTAATTAAATTCACCTAAGTTCGACAAGTGTTGCATTAAATGGTTATGAGTTTCGAGTAAGTATTTAATAAAATGAGTAATGCTTGTGCAGGTCTTGAATCAACGACCTTCGCGGTATTAGCACGACGCTCTAGCCTACTGAACTAATAAGCTTAGATAATATTTTATACTTTATGAACTCTTCCCTGTTGTTGTTGCAAATAGAAATATTTTTTATTTTTTTTATAATTTTATGTCACATGTTTCTTAAACTTCTCATTATGATCCGTAACGAAATTATAATGGATTCAAGTAGATAAGAGTACCAGGAAATTCCACATCAAATAAGTAGGAGCATGTTCTAAGTATACACAAATGAATACTGTAAACATCTTATCAAGTTAATTTTTTTTTGAAAAGAAAGTAAAGATTTTGTGACATTGTAACATTTGTACTAGACTGATACTGTTTAAAAAGGTTGTGCCTATTTAAATGGAAGCTGGACAAGAGGATAGGACACTGGAAGTTGAAAGCCATTTGTAGTGGGGGGCGGGGGGCAGTGTGATGTGAAGCCATGAGGAGTCAGGAGCCACGTTCAAGTGCTTCTTGTGCAGCTTGCAAGCTCTTGAAAAGGAGGTGCACTCCCAACTGTATTTTCGCACCATACTTTCGATCCGATGAACCCAAGAAATTCGCCAAGGTCCACAAGGTTTTCGGTGCCAGCAATGTGAGCAAGATCCTGATCGAAGTGCCCGAAGAGCAGCGAGAGGAGACGGTGAATTCCCTGGCTTACGAGGCTGAAGCAAGGCTTAGGGACCCTGTCTATGGTTGCATTGGTGCCATAGCCCTGTTGCAGAGGAAGATGATCGAGCTGCAACATGACTTGGCCCTTGCCAGAGCACGTCTGGCTCGGTATGCTGCAACCACTTCCTCTGCTATCATCAGCAGTGATCGGGTTAGCATGGGTCCATTCGGTGAGTTTCAGGTCCCGGCTGCTTCTTGTGGAGGATTCATTGACAGTTTCAGCCTGAATTCATATGAAGTGAACCAAGATGCACATATGTATGATTTTAGCCAAATTCCATATGTATAAAGATCTCTCTCTCTCCCTCTCTGGTTGGTTACTAGCTCTGAAAAAACTTGGCATCTTTGGCCTTAAATCTATGTTTCAAGATCAAGATCAAGTAAGAAATTATATGGGAATTCAAAAGGGATTCTCTAAATAAGTTAAAAAGTAAGAGAAAAAGTGATAAATATGCGTGCAATGTTGTTTAGTGTTCTCAAAAGTAGTCATTTCAAAGGACAAGTTGAAATTATAAGTCATTGGCAATCTCCAAAATGTAGGCCAGAGTGCTGCCTTCATTTTCAGATACTCTCCTGCCCAACCAAGCAAATATCACATGCTCTTGTTCGCAAGCTTGGCCTAATTCTTCTCAGCATGAATTATGACCGATATCACCCATTGTTACCCTGTCCTCTCTCTCTCTCTCTCTCTCCCTCTGTTATTTTTCCGAAACAAGTTTTAACTGCGATAACGTGGTCCTACGTCCTTCCCTGAGGTTGAAGTCTCTAGGATCCGAGGGTTGGGGTAAGTGAGCCGATGGACACAAACTTTATCTTTCATTTGTCCTTTGGTGCATGAGTAAACAATATCTTTAGCTTTTCAACATGTTAATGTCACGGGAGTATTACTCTTACTCCAAAAAATTAATTTAATGAGACGTGCGTAACATTCACGCTTATAACTTTTAAGAACTCCCCCTTACTTATCTGAGGTGAGATTTCACAGTATTCTCTCCCACCTAAATTCGTGCCTTAATCACAGATTGGGTCAGCTTGCCTACTCCATCTGTTAAAACACTTGGTATGGCACTGAAATCAAGTCCGAGTTAACTCTAATCTTCTAAAAAAACTAACTAGATAAAGTGCGCAACGTCCAAAACTATAAACCCAACACACCTCTTTTATCTATTTGACGTGAATTCCGGGTGATTTTGACCATAATCCAAGAAAAGCACATTTTTCGATTTGAGTTCTTGGAGCTGAAATATGAAGCTTCAAATATTCCAATTGCTCAACTTCCACAGAATTCTAGTCAAATCAGGATTAGCTATCTTCTTACAAGGTAGTTCTTCCATTTTCCACATTAAACTATCAATTATAACAATAAAACTACAGAATACAAAAACTTAACAAGTTGATAAAGATGATCGTATTATAACAAGTAGAAAATACAATGCACCTGCAGCAAACAACTACTTATGTACAAGAAATGTTACAACCACCACATGCACTTGATTTTCGACCCGATTGGATCTACAGATAGAGACTTCTGTCTCAGTTAATTGAGATCGAAAGAGGACATAGTCACAAAGATAATCAGACTCAGCTTCTATTTTCAGATGGTATGGCACAATCTCCTAGTGCTTCTTCCCTGTTCAATTGCATGCAAAGTTCACAAAAATGCTTATCAGACATCAGAAAGTAAACAGAAACCAAGCCAAGGCTCAGTACTAATACGAACTTCATATGATGAATCAAGCTTAATAGCGGCCGGAGTTTCATATACCTATCAGTTCTAAATTCAATTAACAAAAATTAACCAGATAATATGAGGCAGGGGGGGATTGCTCTTGCTGCAGTGCATCAAAGATTGAGAATACGAGGCAGCGTCTTGTTAAAAGAAAACCTCTCTGTTTCCCCCTTCTTTAATGACTCTATTTACTTGAAACCCAAACAAAATACTAGTTCACCACAAAAATGATTTTCACATGCATCCATTACTTCGTTTGGAACAGCTCACATTATATGTGAAGCAAGGGTTAAACTTCAGATACCAAATTTACATATCAAGCACACAGCCTCTATATAACAATGCTACCCAAACAACATTCCAATATTAAAAGTTTTTTGATAAATGATAAGGGTAATGCTAATGGTGGTAATTACTGGCAACATGGCAACATTCAGATAGACACATATGATACGTTCGGGTTTGGTTCAAGGTAATGCTAATGGTGGTATATTAAAAGTTTTTGATAAATGATACGGTAAATGCTAATGGTGGTAATTATTGGCAACATAGCGACATTCAAACAGACACATTTGATAGGTTCGGATTTGGTTCGAGGTAATGCTAATGGCGGTAAGTAGTGGTGAAGTTTGATGTTAAAAGACAATGACAATCAGCATGCAAACATTAAGATTTAAGTTCGAAATAGTCCAACATGAACACTAATTACCACCATTGGCACCACCTCAAGCCAAATTATCCATCAAATGTGTTTACGAATAATATAAACAATTGTTAAATTAAGAATCAAGGCATATCTACGCCATCAAACTCGTTTATCAATCATCCATCTAATAACATTAGTTCAAATATCTTGATAATCAACAAAATTTTCCACAAAATTCAAACTTTTTTACTTGAAACAAAGCCAATTGAAGCAAAAATTCAAACTTTGGCATGATGAAGCAAGGAATTTTAGTTTTTTCCTGATTACCTGGGCGAGTCAAATGCTTTTGCCGCTTCGATTTCTCCATCTCCAACTGAGCATCTACAAGCATGTTCATTCTTTGAAACTCCAGATCCTTGGTAAACTCCATTCTCTGTTTCTCAAGTCCTTATCTGCTGTTGCTTCGAGCTCTCGATCCTCTCATAGATCTCCCCGAACTTCAAAATCGCTCTCGCTAATTCCCTACACGCAGCTCCATCGGATAATCCTACGTCCTCCACTCGATGCTCTTTTCTCACCTCGTCCTCGTCTCCGTCCTCGTCGCCAAACGAGCTCTCCGTCGACCTCGGCCCCTTCAGAAAAGATGTCGCTTTTGTTTTGATTGTGAAAGTAACGGCGGGATGCCTTTTATTGACGGAGGCGTTAGCGCCGATGAGGGAGTCGATGCGTTTGAAAAACGGCCATTTTGACGGCGGGGTTTGGTTCTTTCCAGCTTGTATTTCTTCTTCAACGTGTCGATCCGGTTCTTGCATTGGACGTCGGTTTTCCTCTGCTTCGCGCCATTTTGACGGGAGTTAACGGGTCAGCACTTCTTGCCAGTCCTTCTGACGGAGGTCTCCTCTGTTAAGCCTTAAATACGGTCTCCCCACGCCTCGATGAGCGTACCGGTTGCCCCTCGCCTAACAGTCTTCGCGGCCGCCGCGCGCCGCCGGAGGAGTGGGTGATGTGAGGGGACCACGGAGGTTCATGGAGGGAAGCTGCTAACTTGTGCGCCGGAGGAAAGGAGGACGAGGATAAAGGAAGCGGGAGAAGAATCGGATACTGCCAGGAGCAGATGGGGGAAAATGGTGAGAAGTAAGGGGAATTGGCCGTGCATTTCTTTTGTGGCCGGGGTGACGTCAGCTCTTCCGTATTTGGTTTTGGGGTTGGGACGGGATGGACTTTGGACTATTGTACCAATCATACGTCCGTGCAAATTTTCCAATATCCTATGGCACTCCTCTGCAAGTCAAAATTTTACTCAAATTTTTAATTAAGTAAAACTAACTTATCTCCATCGATATCATATGCTCTAATCTTAAAACCCAAAATAAACAAAATCGACTTATTCCGAACTTAAATATCATGATACGTAATTTCTGTATTAATTTTTTAAAAATTTTAAAATCGATCGAATTATATCTTAAAATAAAAAATACAAGCTGGACTTATTTGATCAATTCAATTAAACAGAATGACTCTAATTATAATATTTAATAAAAATAATCAAAATCGACTTATCTTGAGAATACTCAAAATTGTGCATTAATTTCCTTTGGTCCCTTGATTTTTGTTTACATTCATTTCAAAAAAATCAGTCAATTTTCTACCCATGGTCAATCCCATTTTCCTATTTCGACAAAACAGCATTGCTTCATCTCTCCTTCGCAAACCAAATCAATTTGTTAGCCAAACCCCAAAACTCTCTTGGTCCAACCTTCTATCCCCCTCGACAAGCCATCACAAACCTCACCGCCTGGTCGCATGGCCCAGCCTCAACATCCCATGATCACGTGCGTATGCGTCGAATACATCACGTGAAAGACCGTACCCACCATGCTCCGCAGCAGCGACAGAGCTCCCTCGACCTTTCCCGCCTTACACGTGCCCATAATCAGAGCGTCGAACGTACGCCCGTCCGCACCCAACCCTTCGTCCTCCATCTTCTTCACCACGGCGGTCGCCTCCGTCAACTTCCCTTCGAAACAATAAGCCGCCAGCAGATAATTATATGTTGTCACGTCCGGTAAAGTCCGGCGTCTCTCATCAGATCCACCACCGCCAGGCTCCTCCATCATCTTTTCTTCGTCAACGCACACAAAATCGGATAAAAGCTAACGGCATTTAATCCGTACCCTTCCTTGACCATCGTGTCGATCACGCGCAGGGACTCGTCGGTTTTTCCAGCTTGCAGAGACGAGCGATGAGTGAATCGAAGCGTTCTTCCGCGGGACGCCTTTGTCAAGACGAGATACGGTTCGGACAAATCGTCGAGGATGGAGAGGAGAGATCCGCTGGCGGTGAGGAACTTGAAGGTTTTGGCGGTGTTGTAGCATCCGTCTCTCACGCGCTTATTTAGGAGGTACCCCACAGTCACCAAGTCCCCACTTCGGCCTGCTTTGTAGACCTGCTCGTCGTAGTACGCCGAGGTAGGCTCGTCAGGGAATGGCTCGTCAGGCACTGGCCCGGGGTTAGGGCTTTGGGCGGTGAAGAAGCAGCGAGCGGGTAAAATCTTGGGGATAGATTGGGGATAAGGAGATTTGTTATGGAGTTTACGGAGAATTGACATGGTTACAGTCACAGAGAGCTGGCACGAGAGTCGGAGAAATGGGGGCATCGTTGTAGGGTTTAAGGGGTTTAATCGGGGAAATCGAAGATTTGGGCTTCAGGCCCAAATAACAATACCACTAATAGAAGCTATGCTTACTGAGGCCCAAATAGAAAAAGATTTGGGCTGACAATAACATAAAAGTAGTTTTGAAATGTAAAAATTAAGTGTTTATAAATAAAATAAAAATAATTAATGTTCCAATTATATATAAATTGAAATTTTGAAGTATTAATTTATGAGTACTTGAATTTTTTTTAATAAATTTTTTATTTACAAATTTAATAAATTTTGTTAATATTTGTATTCAAAAAATTTAAAATATAATACAAATAAATTAAACAATTTTCATCAATTAAAAAATTTTCATCAATTAAAAAATTTCTTGATATCCATGATTTTAAAAGGTTTTTACCAAGATCATTGAAACGAGCTCATGGATTATTGGTCCCGGATTACCCAACTTGGTCAATATACAGTCGGTCAAGATCTATTGTTCCAAACTCATAATTATTTCATTATGTGAATCAAACATATAGTCAATCTTTTTAAAAAATATATATAAAATTATTGATCGAGACCTTAAGAGATTGGTTAGATTCATGGACCATTAAACTTTAATATTAATTTAAAAATTAACTTTTAAGATTACTGCTCTATACGCCGACAACTTTTTAAATATTTCATGTACAAAATCAAAACCCTAAAACTTAACCATTATCTCTCAAAAGTGAAAGATTTACATGTTTTACATATGATGGAAGAATCAAGATTTCGTCTACATCGATAGGGTTAATTCTCAAATGACTGTACCCAAAACAAAAAAAAATAAATAAAGAAAAGAAAGGGAAAGATGATGAGTAGTCATGAAATGTTTTGTCCCAGTCAAAGAACGACTGTTCCTTGCCATGCTTGTTGTCTTTATACTATCCCTATCGCTGATGATCTTCCTGTTTGTTTATCCAAAGAGAAAAAAAACTGGTGGGGGATCATAATGCGATATAGACTCATCTCCCCCTTTTGAAAAACAATGCTGATGATCAATAACTGTTGGCGGAGATTAGCCTGTCTCTCAATTTTAGCTATATATATATATATATATATAATCATATATAATCTTAAATCAGCTTCAACTTTTTTAAGGAAAGAGGAAAGTTGTTGAAGATAATAAAAAACCCCACACTTCCCTTTTGCTTGACAATGTCATGGATATGAATTGATTACATGCCCCCACATATAAATTTAAATCCCATTCTTCCCTTATTCAAACTCGTGCTAAGAAAAAATTTACATCTTCGTTGACAAAAGAGTGTGGTTTTTTTTTTTAATTATTTACCAATTTTTTATCCAAGATATGAATTATCTTGTTTTATTTCTCGTTCGGTTTTAAATTTAGAGTTTATGAGTTAGGGTTTATATATGTACTTTTTATATTATATATAACCAAAAATTAACAAAAAAAAATCTACACTTGTGTTTGTATTATTAATTTGTGAAATAGACAATGAATATAGAGAACAAACTACATAACCCTAGGATTAGTTCATAATAAGATAAAATAACCTTGCAATCTAGTATGGGTATTTTTTTTTTTTGATTGTTTTGATGTGAAATTAGGAATTCAAGATTAATTATGCATCGAGAAAGAATATTAAAAAGTAAACAATTGATAAAAAAAAGAAAATTAGTGATGATGACTATGATCACTTTATCTAGTATCCCCTTTTATTTATCTTTAATAGTGATTTCATAATGAACTTCTTTTTCTAAAACAGTTAATATTTTGACTTTTTATATAATAAATTTATTCATATTAATAAGTATAGAATATTTATATTATAAAAATTAAAATTTTAATATAAAATATATCAAAATAAAAATTTTCGTGACATATATTAAGAAGAAGAATAAACAAAAGTTTCCCTCTTCTAATTGGTGATGAGAACGAGAATCAATCAAAATCAAGCAGCCACACCTTTTCTTTTTCATTTAATAAACAAATTAAATTAAGCTAAAATTAGAACTAATATTCGGAATCAGAACCCATCCTTAAACCTATATTATAAAAGAAAATTATCTTTTAAACTAGCGCTACTTAGTATTTATCTTCGTGGAAAAGGAAAGGGGAGCATGTTTTGCTTTTCTCTGTGAAAAGACGTGATGTGTTGAATCAGTTAGCCCCAGCTACAAAAAAGGAGACAGAAGATAAAATTAGGAATAACCAAAGAAGCTAAGCATGCAGATCATGCATATCCCATCAACAACAAAGCAAATAGAGGATCACAGATTGCACTCTCCCCTTCTTTGTCTTATTCTTATCTTAATGAAATATATTATATATATATATATTACAAGAGATTTGCATCATCTTTGGCTTCTTTGGGGCCTAGTTTGACCTACTTACCCTCATTCCCATGCTATTTTTTTTAAAAAAAATTTAACATAGTTCTTAGTATGATTTGTAAATTGTAACCCAAAATCATTGACATGATTTCTTATTTAATTCATTTATTATTTATTTAACTTAAAGTTACTCTTTAAGATTAGTTAAAATATGATTTTTTAAAGAGTTGTTAAACTCTTATTTATCAAAAATCGTATTGTATTAAATGCAGTAATAGATGGTTAATGATATGAGTTTAAGTGTATGTAGAAAAGGATTAGGCTATTTTAAATTTAAAATTATTTATGAATTAATTGATTAAATCAATCTATTATTAATATAGACATGGTATGAGATTTATTATCAATTTTTCTCACTAATGATGTCCAATCGATGAAAATTTTCATAGGAAGTATATTCCTTGACAAATTTTTTCTATGTTATTCCGTTTTCATTCCCATGGTATAAATGTATAATAGATTTGTAGTTAATAGGGCGGTGATGGGGTCAGGATTTGACAAGGGCATCTCTAAATGTTTTTCATAGTAATGTCGTGGTCATTATCATCCAAAGTAAATGTTAGCACATACAGTTAATATGCCCAGCTAAGCTAAGCTAAGCTATATATATTTATATATATAAATAAATACCTAACTCTTTCCTTATATTTACAGAAAGACAGCTAGCTAGCTATCCCACATTAAATTTTTAATATTTTAATGCTTGTAGCATAGCTGACATAAACAATTCTTCGTATATTTTCTAAAATTCTTTCTTTGTCTTTGATTAACTTCGATTGGCATCACAGTATTGTTTGATTAGACAATTTGAATCCCAATTCCCACTAGAGGCTCTCTCTCTTTTACATGTTATGCTCATGTTTGGAATTTTCAACACAAGCAAACCTCTTGATAAACATATATACATGGCAAGCAATTTAATGAGCCAGAACCCTGCCAATTCATCATAACCCCTTACAGATCAAGGGAAATCTTCAT